CCCGTGGTAGGGCTCAGGTTCTGTCCCCCCCCCCCAGGCTCCTATACACAGCAGAATGGGCGCCCGTGCCCTTGATCTTGGTTGGCTGGGGGAGGGGTGCACTATGGCACAAGGAATCCCTTGGGGATGCCTGTCTTTCTCATGGAAGAAATAAATAAACTTTTAAAACAGAACAGCTTAAAAAAAAAAAAAATCAGGGACAGCTCACTATAGTACAGTAGGAGCCCCATATATTTCAAATGTAATATAATATAATCATAATTTCAAATTATCTCTGGAGGATTATCTCAGAGGATGGCCAGTGACCCCTCCCCCAAGGCATTTGTGGTAGTTCTCACCTTGAATGTGTACCTTAAAAGCCATTTTGGGGACAGCAGATGGTGTAGCAGTTATGTTGCTGGACTCCCACATGGCCAACTAGGGTTCAAATCCTGGGCGCGGTGGCTTGAAACTCACACTGGGCATGTATGCATGTGTGCCCAAGATCCCATGAGAAGAATGGAGAAGAAGGGATTGCAGTGTGGCTAGTCCCCCTGGGGTGATTTCCCACTTTCCTTTTCACTGTCTCTGTCTCTCTCTCCAGTGAGTGTACGCACCCTATGGCAAAAACCTCTAAAAGAAAACCCTATTTTGAACAGGCAGGCTATAGGAGCGCCAGACTGAGCAACAAACCTGAGCCAATTCTCATAGCTCGGTCCCGGCCTTCCCTGGCTGGCCCACCTGCCCAGGGCAGTCAGGAAGTGTCTCTCCAAAGTGAGAACCATTAGCTGTACTCTTCCAGCCCAGAGGCAGCATGCTGGCCACGGAGGCCTGGGGGGACATTTGCTACTCTCCTTCCAGCCTCAGGGGAGTGAGCCCACCCCAACCACTACGTCCGGTAAGCCAGGCCTCTGCTGGGGCATCAGCCCTTTGCCTTGATGACCACAGCAGCCAGCCCAAGACCACATACCACAGAGAGCAGCCACATGCAGAGGTGTATGTCCCCTGTCATCTCTGGAGAAGGGAGTGACAACTGAGGGATCGTTCAGCCTCCTAAAATAAAAACAGGAGACAAAAATACACCATTGGAACAGCATGGCGCCTCCCGCACCAGGCTAGGTTAGATGGCAGATCACAGAAAGTGGTCTGAAATGGGTCTCTTCGGCAGGTCACAAAGATCACCCAGTCCCTGTCTGGTCTCCTGCAGGGCGGCCTGTTTCCCGTCCCTCCACTCACCAACCATTCAGGCCTCAGCGCCCAACACGACAGTCTGAAGATGACTATGGGAACCAGAAACATCACTGGGAGGGAAACTGACATTCCCCTCATCCTAAAACCCACTTCCTTCTTTTCCTGAACAGCGACATCAGGATTTTATCGTCTTCATAATAAAACGAAAGATACAGCACAGAGCGGAATCACGTGGCCCTTTCTCTTATCTCCTCCCAGATCAAAATGCTCGTACATCTTAATAGCCAGCATTCTCTGAGGTCTCAACTGGGCTCAACCTACTCAAGCCTCAGTGCAATCTTCTGGTCGTTTTAGTCTTTTTATAGAAAATTGGCTTGCTCTGCCCACCACAGCCACCCTGCTTCCGGTCGTAAGGCTGCTTCCCCTGGGCATACGGAGCGTCCTCGCCCTTCTCGAACTGCGCCACTTTGCGAGGCTGGTGCTTGCCACACTTCTTATACGAAGTCCAGTCAGTTTCAGCAATGTCTGCCATGTTTGCAGACGTGCGCTCAGCAGAGGAAAGAAGCAAACTCCACTTTCTTAGGCCAGGGTAGTCCTATCCCCACCTACCTTGGTATCCAGCCCAGGCATGCACAAGTATGTCTACGACGTCTATTCTCCAGAGAGACAGACATCACTGTCTCCACCTCACAGCAAAATAACTTAGGTAAGGGACCAGCAGTTGGAGTAATGGCTATGTCACTGGACTCCCATGTAGTCAACCGCGGTTCGTGTCCCAGACCCAGTGGCTTAAACTCACGCCGGGCACATGTCCATGCATGCCCAAGATCCCGAGAGGAAAATGTAGGAGAAGGGATTGCGGCATGGCCATCCCCCCCCAGTGGGTGATTTCTCACTTTCTGTCTCTCTGTCTCTCTCTGTCTTTCTGGAGAGTACACGAGCAAAAACCTCTCCAAAAAAAAAAAAAGCAGAAAGAGCTTAGGTAAACTATGAATAACAGGTAAGTCCTTATTCATAGTTGAGTGAGAAATAGGTGGAAAAGTTCCACCAGGCCCTGTGTCTCCTGCTTCCTGCCACAGGGCCTCCCCGAGCAGCCTCTTACCCAGAGACGAGTTTCTCACAGTCGTCACAGAAGCACAGAGGGTGACACATCTTTTGGACGGCGTCTTTATCATGGTCTTCTTGGCTCAGGAGTTTTTCCACTTCTTTCTGGTTACCTGATGCAATGTGCTAGAGGTGACAAGCAAAATACTGTCAATATTAAGGAATTATTTCTCTTCTTTGAGATGTGGATGTTCTGAGTCCTTATCTCTATGTTTATGGATGAAATGTTTGTGTTTGTGTGTGTGTGTGTGTGTGTGTGTGTTTAAGATTTTTGCCACAGGTTACATGTGCTTGCCAGAGAGAAACAGAAGGAAAGTGAGAAAACACACACACACACACACACACACACACACACACACACACAC